AATCATTCCTTCCTCACTGTTAGAGCTCAAAGTGGCACAGGACTGGGGGTGATATTCCACCCTCCTGTCCTCTGGGTCCCTGAAGCCTGACCCATACAGCCCTTCCCTGTGCCCCTTCCCCTGGCAGCACTGGAGAGATTCCTCCCTCCTCTGGCAGGACTGGGAAGGAAAAGAGAGGAGGTGAAAGGGAATAGAAAGAAAAAAAACCCTCAGTCTGAAAGACAGTCACAGCCTTTCAGACAGCAGAAAGTCAAGCAGGAAAAAGACCCTTCAAAAAAAGGTCTTATTGCAGCATCTGGAGGCAGCTTAGGTTACCTGAGACTCTCTAGTGATTCAGAAGACTTTAACCAAGAAAGTTAAAGCCAGGGACGATCAATGAGCCTCTGCAAGCAGCAGAGCATCAGGTTACCTGCTGAGCCCAGACAGCAGGAGCTGCACTTCGGAACTTGCCTTTTTTTCCCCCCCCTGCTCTGGCAATGAGTCTCAGTATGGAAAACAAACCTCCCTCCCCCTCCACACCATCCCTCACTCCCTAGAAAACAACCTGTTTAAGTGCCTTTTCCCCTCCATGTCATGTTAGAAAGGAGAGTTGTCATTTCTGGGTATACAAGTATCCTGTGGCTACAAGAAGGCAAGAGCAGGAGGACATGGAGGGTCATTTCCCAGGCACTGAGGGAGGTGTCTGCTGCCAGAGGACAGCACTAAACCCTCTGAACAGGGTTATCCTTTGTGGAGGAAACCAAAAAACTCTCCTATGGCTTCTGAAGTGACTCATAAACACCACTGCTGTTTCTGCAGTGACTCCAGCTCAGCCTGAGGAACTGTGTGCAGGAGGCTTTGGTCATCCCTTGACTAACCAGAGCCAAAGGGACGTGGAAGGTGACTGCTATGACCCACATCTAAAGCCCTTCTGTCCAAAGAGCAACGGGGCTCCTCAGAGATGAGGAGTACAGAGAGCAGAGCCAACTCCTGGCTCTGGTAGCTCTGCAGTAGGACAGGCTGGAGATGCTTAAACAAACCTCCTTCCCTCTGCAGCAAATGTCAGTTCCTCTGAACCAACAGTGTTTGCTGATGGCCTGTTTTGCTCAGCCTCTAGAGCTGGTAAATGCTTCTGGGGAAGGAAGAAATCACAGATACCCAAATGCTTCATTTTAATGAAGAAAAAAAGAGGGGAAAAAAAAGCAATGCTTCACTCCAGAATGACTTTCTATTCTGAAACTTTAAGCAATTTACTAAAAACTGAAATAAAACCCCAAAACGAGAACTTCCAAAGTCTTCATGAATCACTCTCCAATTACTAAATGGAATCAGTGCCTTCCAAAACAGCTTTCAGGAACATTTCTTATTAAGAAAATAATTGGCCACTATGAGCTGGG